TGGGGGGCTGGTTTTGGGGTTGGGGGCTGGTTTAGGGGTGATTTGGGATTAGAGGCTGGTTTGGGGTTGTTTTTGGGGTTTAGGGGTTGGTTTAGGGGTGATGGATGCCCAGCTCAAACCCAGTTGGACCTGTGGCCGTATTCTCCCCTGCCCCTCCCATCCTGGATGCCGGGGGGCTCCGTGAGGTGTTTGTGCTGTCCCATCCCTGTCCCCACCTGGCAGCACCCGGAACTTCCCCGGGCACCTCCTGCCCGGCCCAGGGGCTCGGGATTTTGGGGATTTTGGGGATTTTGGGGTTCTTCAATGCTCTCAGACCGGGGAGGGGGGGTTGTGCATCCTCTGCCAGCTCATGCACCATTGCCATGGCAACGCTTTGGATGCAGCTTCATTCCTCTTGATCTCCTTGCTTATCTGGGGGGATGGGGAGGGGGCTTGCATGATCTCGGCCCCCTAAACAGAAGGGACAGGGAAGGACAGTCCCTGCGGGCTGGCAGGGGATGTGGCACAGCGGGATCTGCCCATGGGACACATCACAGCCTGGCCTCTCCTGTGCTTTCAGGGCCTGTGACCCCTTCAGCTGAAGCCCTTCTCACTGGGCTCTGTTAATGCCTGCTTGGTTTGGGGCTCACTGTGATTCCAGCCCCGCATCCCGGGGATCTGGGGGATGCCATTCCCGGGGCTGAGCTGGCTCCGTGGGCAGCAGAGGAGCCCAGGCTGACAGCTTATCCCAGGCTGATTTGGAAGGTTAAAGGGATCATGTTCCCAAGGAGAGGCGAGTGCTCAGGTGGCCCCAGGCTGGCTCCTTGCTGCTATCCCAAGTCCTTTGAATGCTGGGAAGCAGCAGACCTGAGCTTCCACACGGGCAGAGAGGAAAGAGAAAATTCTGGAGGGACAAACCAGAGCATTCCTGGGAGCAAGCCCCCAAAATGGGTGTAAACGGGAATGAAGAGTTCAAGGTTTTCTGCCCAGGAACTAAAAGCTCTTTTTAAGGAGCAGTGCAGGAAATTTGATGAGAAGCAGAGAATTCCTTGGATGTTTTTGGTGTCACGTTGTGCCTGAGGCACTGCGGGGGCTCTGTGTCTCCTCTTAGACCTCCCTGCCTGGAACTTCTCATCCCAATTAACACCTCAGGGGCTTTCCCTTCTCCCCTCAGTCATGGATGCCCCTTCCCGGGGGTGCAGGGATGGGCCCATGTCCAGGCCCCAGGAATGGCTGGGTCTCCCAGTTCCTGACCCCTTCTCCAGATCCTGTCCGTGCCAGGTTCTCATTCAGGGTGTTTTCTGGGCTGGTTTTACTCAGATCTCTCTCTTTTTGCCCCTTTCTGTGCAGCTCTCCGTGACCAGCAAACCCCCCAGCTCTGAGGGCCAGGGAGACAAGAAGGACAATGCCACAGCCCCCCCGGCTCCCCCGTCCTATGAGGAGGCGACAGCAGGAGAAGGGATGAAATCCAGGGCTTTCCCTGCCCCGCCGGCAGCCCCGCTCCACCCCAGCTGGGCTTACGTTGATCCCAGTAAGTCCTGCCATGGCTGTACTGGGGAGAGCCCCTGGGAAAGGGGGCAGAGATCCCCCCCAGGATTGGAGAGGAGAGGGGGAACCGGCGTAAGAGGGGGATCAGGGATAGGAGGAGGACTGGTGGTGCCCAATGTTGCCCAGGGCAGAGCTGCAGCCGTGAGTTGTGAGCCTCTGTCTGCACAGGAGAGTATTTATCAATGTATAAAAATCTCCATCTACCCATGAGCATCTCCATCTACACATCAAAGTCTCCATCTGCAGATAAAAGTTCTTTAAATTATTATCTGTAAATAAAAGCCACTCCAGCCATCCCAGAAGCCTCACCCCTTTCCAGATGTGGGAGTCAACTCCTTCCCAGTCCCATGGTGGGAGAAATCCCCATTCCCAGCTCACTGCCCTGGGTGATCCCAGCTCCCGGGGCTGGAGAGAAAGTCCTGGAGCAGCTGCAGGGATCCCCCCACCCCCTCCTGCAACTTCAGCTCAGCCCCAGCTCTCAGAGCAGCTGAGGTGGCACAATTGGTGTCACAATTGGTGTCACAGCCCTGAGTGTAGCTGTTGGCAGCTGGTGGCAGAGCCAGGGAGGCTGGGGCATGACTGGAGCCAAAGGCTGGATTGTTCCAGCATCCCTGTGGCCATTCCTGAGCAAACCAACAGTTTTTCCAACACCCAGAAGCTCCCTGAAGCTTCTGCTGGGCTGTAGCACAGGACAAAGGCCCAGCTATGCCCAGGGAATGGCTTCAGGCTTGCAAGTGGAGCTGGATCAGAATGGGAAGTGACCCTGGGGGTGGCTAAGTGCTCACTCAGCACAGTTCCAGCAAGAGAAAACGCTGGAAGGATGGGATTTAGGGACTCCTGAGCCCCTGCCCTGCTCCATCCTTTGCTGTCTGTTCCATCCAGCTGCAGGGATGGGATGCTTGGGGAAGGAGTGAAAACATAAACTGGTATGTCTGTGCCATATTCCAATGGTTTCTCAGCCTTTTCCCTAAGGAACAGAGGGGATAAATCCCCCACAGCTGGCTCTGGGGTTCATCTGGATTTTTCTGCTGTTGTGATGAATTAAGGTGGGTGAGGCCCAAATGGGGTGGGATAGGGTATTTTGGGTTTAGGGGGTGGGATGGGGTATTTGGGGCCTCCAGGTGGGAAACCCACTCTATGGGATGTCTCACACTTTGCTGGGAGCACCTGGAGAGAAGGGCTGTGGATTTGGGGTTGTTTCTGTGACAATGAACTGTCCTGCTGTGGCCCTGGGTGGGGGGACGGCTGTGGGGACACCAGGAGGGAGGAGAATAAAACCCTCAGGATGCTGGGGACACTGCCAGGGAGGGAGGAGGGTAAAAGCCTTCAGTTCCTCAGAGGGCCTGAGGTGCCAGCTGGGTGTTTAGGTGTTAATTGTGTGTTTAGGGGCTGGCACTGCTTTGGTGCAGGAGCCTTGGAAGTGTCCCAGGGATTCTGGAGGCCCCAGGTGCTGTGGGCTGGATGAGGGATCCAGGAGAACACGCAGGAGGTTCAGCTGCAGTGGGGCAGGGAGGAAGGACCAAAGGATTTATTGACAACAGAACCAAGGACTTATTTCCTGATGGGTGCACCTAAGTGACGCTCCTTCATTTCAAATGAGCAACTTTTGACCAGGAAAACAGGAGAAATTCAGGATCAGGACCTTGAGTTTGGTTTTCCTGGTGTCTGCTCTGAGATTGAGAGAGTCTTTGCTCCATCTTCCTGAAGGATTTGGGTATCCTTGAGCTTCAGGAGGAGGGGAAGTGTCTGTGGACCAGGCAGGGACAGGAATGAAATGCAGGAAAATGACACAAAAATACTTCTGTGGAAGCCCAGCAGGGAGGACTTCAGTGACACAGGAGGGGACATCAGCAAGGGAAGATAAGAGGGCACAGAAAGATCATGGAATCATGGAATGGTTTGGGTGGGATGGGTCCCTTAAGATCATCCTGTCCCACCCCCTGCCATGGGCAGGGACACCTTCCATTATCCCAGGTTGCTCCAAGCCCATCCAACCTGGCCTTGGACTATTCCTGGGATGGGGTAGGGAAAACCAGCAACAGGAGTTCCTGATTTGGCAAAGCAGAGATGACTTGTGTGGTGATGTGGGAGAAGATTTTTCTCACTGGTGGCGTTGGAGCTGTTTCTACCTTTTCAGGCTCAGTGTTTAACTGTTCCCTGAGCCCCTGTGTGGAAGTAGGACTGAGGGATGGAGCTCAGGGAGCTGCCAGGAGCTGCTCTCAGAGCAGGGATATTGTTGACAAAAGCCACGATGCAAACACAGCTCAGGAGAGGGAATTCCCGCTGGGAATGCTGAGTCATGGCTGCTCTGGGGATGCTTTAATATCCAGTGAAGGGAAATCAAGGGATGATCCCAGCCCTCCAATTGCTGTGGAAGATTTGGTGTTTCCTCAGACAGGGATTAAGATTGGTGTTAGGATGGTTTGTGGGAATGTTCTCTCTGTTCCCAGGGATGGTCCTAAGGAACTTCAGGAGTGAGAAGGGAGCAGAGGAACACCTGGGAATTTGGGGCACCTGAGCTGGGATTGCTCCCTGGGGTCAGGTTCTGGCAGCTGGGGGGGAATTGGGGTGGGAGCTGCTCTCTTTGGCCTCTCTGCAGGCACCAGCCCAAGCTACGGCAGCGGGGGGTACCCGGGGGACACGGAGCTGCTCACGACCTTCAGCTGGGACGACCAGAACGTGCGCAGGGTGTTCATCAGGAAGGTGAGGGAGGAACACATCCCTTGTCCTCCAGGCTGGCAGAGCTGGAGCCCCCAGCCCTTGGAGGGGCTGGATTCTGGGATCCATGGATCACCTCTCCCTGCAGGTTTATGCCATCCTGATGGTCCAGCTCCTGGTCACTGTTGTCATCGTGGCTTTCTTCACCTTCTGGTAGGTTCTGGGTGTCTGAGCCACCTGGGACCCAGGCCCTGGGCAGGTTCCTGGGGGTTGTGTCACACCTGGATTTTTTTTTTTGAGTATTCCAATTGAAAAGCAAAGCTGAGGGAACACTCAGAGGTCCCTCAGTCCTTTTGCTTTCATTCCCACCCATGCTCGGGGTTGGATCATCCATCCTGGGTGATCCCCTGGGCTGATGTTCTTGGGCAGTAACTGCTGGGTTTTCCCTGTGGGAGTTACCAGATCCCAGCTCCAGGGGCTGGGTTCCCTCCCCTGCTCATCCCCCTCTCCAGCTCAGATGACCGAGCGCTCCGGGTGTGTGTGGCTCATGTTGCCTCCAGAATAAATAATGGATCACTGCCAGCCTGAGGATTTGGGCTCCCTAATCCCCTGTGGGAGCCAGTCCCAGCCAGATCTGGTGTGGAACTGGGGACCAGCACTGCCCTTCCCACCTGGCAGCTGGAATTCCTCTCCACAGGCTTAGGCTGCTGAGGGGATTCACCCAGGGCTGGGTTTTTAATCCCTATGCTGGGGCTGTTCCTGGGGTTCAGTGAGCAGGGAGTTGTGAGGGATTGCATTTTTCCTGCTCAGGATCTTTCCTTCTGTCTTGCAGTGAACCGGTTAAGGGCTACATCCAGACCCACTCTGCCTGGTACTGGGCTTCCTAGTGAGTATCCCTGGCTTTTCCTGCAGCCTTGTGTGCTTCAGATGGACTGGATGGGGCTGTGGGGATGTGGGAAGGGTCTCCAACACTTCCCAAACACTTCCCTGTCCTGCATGTGAAGAATAATTCCAAAGCATCTGGGGGCAACTGGGGAAGGTCATGGAATCATGGAATGTGTTGGGTTGGGAGGGACCTTAAAGTTCACCCCATGCCACCCCTGCCATGGGCAGGGACATCTCCCACTGCCCCAGGCTGCTCCAAGCCCTGTCCAGCCCAGCCTTGGGCACTGCCAGGGATGGGGCAGCCACAGCTGCTCTGGACAAACAATCCATGGGTGATCGTGAGGTGAGCAGATGGAAAACCTCACCTGAATGAGCAAGAGACGTGAGAGAGGGAAACTCTGAATGCTTTTCCAAAAATGGCTCTAGAAACCGGGCTTGAAACAAATACCTGAGTATTTCCTAGGGAAAACAGGAGAAAACTGGGGAGTTTCCAGGGGAACAGTGTAGAAGTTCCCACGTGAGACCTGGAAGGATGTTCAGGGTACCTTAGAGGTTTGATTTTGGGAATGTGCCCTGGGAAGCTCCAAGGATCTCCCTGCAGAGCATCCAGGAGAACACTGTAGAACCCCATATGTGAGACCTGGAAGGATGTTCAAGATACCAAATTCAGGGGGATGAATTTTGAGATTTTCCCCTTGGAAGCCAGGTGGTTGCTGGGGTTTCCATTACATAATATCCAGTGGATTTGGGGTGTTGGGATGTTCCTGGCCATGTCTGAGTGGGACTGTAACTCCTGGGGCACCATCCCAAAGCTCTGAAGTTGGGATGCCATTCCTTGGACCCCCAGACCAGCCTAGATTGGAGCTTCCATGTGCTGGGATCTTCCGGATCTATGGTTTCTGGGCTGCTGGTGGGGTCAGTGCTGCCCATTAAGCGTGAGGTGAACTCAGCTTCAATCAGTTCATGCCCAAATCAGGAGATGAGATACCGGCTTATATCACCTGGGAAAACCCTCCAAACAGCAGGAATGGAGCATCTGGCAGCTCTGTGGCACCAGGAGGGAACCAAAGGTGCTCCAGAGGGCAGCTGGGGTTGGAGAGGCAGTGTCACCTCACAAGGGACAGGGAGAGGAGGCTCAGCTGTGCTCAGGTCCCCACCTTGGCCTCTGGGGTTACCTTTTCCAGCTCCCTGCCCAGGTGGAGTTTATTCCCTCCTATTTTCCAGTGGGAACACCCCTGGGGCAGCTGAGGGGGGCTCTGCCCTGGAGGAAATTCCCCCCGGTCATTGTCCCCCTGTACACGGGTGAGACCCCACCTGCAGAACTGCTCCAGCCCTGGGGCTCAGCACAAGAAGGATGAGGAGCTGCTGGAGCCAGTCCAGAGGAGGCCACAGAGCTGCTCCCAGGGCAGGAGCCCCTGTGGAGCCAGGCTGGGACAGCTGGGGGTGCTCACCTGGAAAGGAGAAGGGAAAGAAGACTTTGGAGCCCTTCCAGTGCCTAAAGGGGCTCCAGGAGAGCTGGAGCAGGGCTTGGGGGAAGGGATGGAGGGACAGGACACAGGGAATGGCTTCTCAGTGCCAGAGGGCAGGGATGGACGGGATATTGGGAAGAATTCCTGACTCTGAGGGTGGGCAGGCCCTGGAATGGATTTCCCAGAGCAGCTGTGGCTGCCCCATCCCTGGAAGTGTCCAAGGCCAGGTTGGACAGGGCTTGGAGCAGCCTGGGATGGTGGGAGGTCTCCCTGCCCTGGGGTGGGATGGGATGGATTTTAAGGTCCCTTCTCACCCAGGCCATTCCATGACTTTTTTTTTTCACTACCCAGTGACCCAAGTCCTTCCCTCCATTCCATCCTCTCCAAATGTTTTTCCTGCTCCATGCCTGGATCTCCTTCCTAACCAGAGGCCTCTGTAAAATAAACCAGGATGTTTTCTGACTGCTGTGGTGGCACCTCAGCAGGAATAAATCCAGAGCAGACAGGGGATGGACAGCTCCACTGGCTCTGTGCTCCCGACAGTCTCTTTCCAGCTGCTCAGCCGTGTCCAGTATGGCTTTCCTGGTTTCCCAGTGGGAGATCTGGGCCTGGCTTTATCTCTGTGCCCTGCTCATGGCCCTGGGCTCTGCCATCACCTGCCTGCCTTGGCCAAGGGTCAGCGGCTATCGGATGCCATCGGCACATCCGGAACCGCTGCTCCAGCTGCCGGGGAAAGCAGGGGAGCAGCTTCCAGAGCCTGGAAAAACACCCAGCTTCAGGCAGGAGAGCCTCCCTCAGCTCTGGGGCTACTGTGCTTTGAGAAGGGTCGAATCCTGGGAAACAAAAACTTCCTGACCTGGGCGGGGCATTAGGCTGATCACTTTTCTGAATGGCTCCTCCTGCCCTGAGCCCTTCCCAGAGCAGCTCCTCCTGTCCTGAGCTCTTCCCTTAGCCCTTCCCTGCCCTGGGCTCTTCCTCAAGCATTCCTGCAGCAGAATCCTGGACTGGGTTAGGTTGGAGGGACCTTAAAGTCCATCCAGTGCTACCCCTGCCATGGGCAGGGACACCTCCCACTATCCCAGGTTACTTCAAGCCCTGTCCAGCCTGGCCTTGGGCACTTCCAGGGATGGAAAGTCCAAAACTTCCCATTCCTGGAGGGATGTACCATGGGAGCAGCCCCCTCCTCCAGCACAGCCCTTCCAGCCCTGCCTGACACTGGTCACTCTTCCAGCCCTTGGTTTAAGAACCTCCAGCTTTCCCACCACCAAGCTGGAAAGGGTTTGGAAATGAGGGGCAAAGCCTGGCATCTCCATGTGAGAAACTCACAGAATCATGGAATCTTGGAATCATGAAAGTTGGAAAAGCCCCTGGAGATCATCAAGTCCAACCATCAACTCTCCACTCACCACTGACCATGTCCCCCACTACCTTACCCACAAGATTTTGGACACTTCCAAGGATAGGATTCCACCACTGCCTGGGCAGCCCCTTCCAATGCCTGACCTCTCTTTCCATGAAGGAATGTTTCCTAAGAGCCAGCGCAAATCTGGTTCCTGCTCTGTTTGTCATTAACACATTTTTGTGCTCTCCAGGATCTGAACCTGCCCTTGGCTCTGCTCTAAATCCAGCCCTCAGCTTTTCCAGGGATGTTTTGTCCCACGTTGGGGATGGCACATGCAGAGGAGGCCCCTGAGGGCAGGAAGGAACTTAGTGAGAGGGACCAGGGGTAGGAACCACCTAGATCCATGCCTGCCGGGTGTTTGCACTTCCAGCATCCCCATCCTGTGGGAATTCTCCCCTGCACCACCATCCCAGGCTGGTTTTCTCCCCCTGAACTCTCCCTCTCTCCTTGCAGTGCCGTTTTCTTTGTCACCTACCTGATCCTCGCCTGCTGCTCTGGGCCCAGGTAAAGGGATTGCTCTGGGATCTGGGACAGCCTGGGGAATGCAGTAGGAATGTTTTCCTCAGGTTTCCAGCCTTGTTATGGGACAGGGGTGGAGCTGTGCCAGCACCGGGATGCAGCTGCTGTGTTTCCATGGGCTCATGGAATGGTTTGGTTTGGAAAGAACCGTAAAGCCCATCCAGTGCCACCCCTGCCATGGACAGGGACACCTCCCACTATCCCAGGCTGCTCCAAGTCCCATCCAAGCTGGCCTTAGACACTTCCAGGGATGGGGCAGCCACAGCTGCTCTGGGAAACCTGTTCCAGATGCTGGAAACAGCTGTTCAGGCCTGAGACAGCCTTGGCTTGCAGCACCTCAGGAGTCCAACTGCAGCTGTGACTTTGTAGCAGAAACTGTCGTTTGCAGCTCTGGATTCTAGGTATTAAACATTCCAGAGGATGTTCCTGTCAGCTCCCAGTGGAGCAGGAATATCCTGTGACCTTTGTCCTGCTGGCCCAGGAGGACCCCAAATACCCTGTGTCTCCCAGCAGGGTGACTGTGCCCAGCACCACCCCTGGTACTTGTGCACCAGGCACTATTTACCAGCATGGACATTAATTACCCAGCAGGGTCATTAATTACCCTCACAGGAATAAATTACCCTCATGGTCACTGATTCCCTGGCACAGCCCCTGCTGACTGGCCCCTGTTTCCTTTGCAGGAGATACTTCCCATGGAATCTGATCCTGCTCAGCATCTTTGTGAGTAGCACATTTGGCCAGCATCTGTCCTGGGGTCAGAGTGGCTCCAAGGACATGCACAGGGCTGCCATTCCTGGGGAAAAGTGGAAATTTCATCCTCTTCTTATCCTATGCTTGGGCTGAGGAGCTATGGTTGCGCTGGGATGGGAGAAGCTGGAAAAAAGGGAGCCTCTGTTTAAAAATTGAAAAAAATAATTGTGGAGTCTGCTGGGAACTGGGATTGGAGCTGGGGTGAGAACTGGGATGGGAACCAGGATGGGAACTGGGGTAGAAACTGGAGTGGTAACGGGTGGGAGCTGAGATGTGCTGGGATGGGAGCTGGGATGGGAGCAGGGATGTGGGATGGGAGCAGGGATGTGGGATGGAAGCAGGGATGTGGGATGGGAACTGGAATGTGGGATGGGAGCAGGGATGTGGGATGGGAGCAGGGATGTGGGATGGGAGCAGGGATGTGGGATGGGAGCAGGGATGTGGGATGGGAGCGGGGTCCTGTGTGGGAGGGATGCAGGAGCAGCGGATGCTCCTGTGCCGTTTGCCCTCCCTCTGCCCTCTCCTCTCGCTATCAGTCACTGGAGGGTTCTGAATGCTGCCAGAATTCCTTCTCCTGAGAGGCTTCCCTGCCCTTTTCTCTGGGACTGAGGGATTTCCTGTGGTGTCTCAGGATATGAGGGCACTAACCAAGCTCTGTTTCACCCCAGACCCTGTCCATGGCTTATCTCACTGCAATGCTCTCCAGGTGAGTTGGGAACTGTCCTGTGTCCTGTTCCTGAAAAAAATTCCCCATTTCCTGAGGTACCTGGGCCACCTGAGCTGTCTGGGGCTCCCAGCAGCCACACAAAGCTGGAGCTTCCCTGTGAAAACACTTTCTAAGGAAGTGTTCCAAGGCCTGTCCCTGTCCTGAGGGAGGCAGCACTGGGGGGTTCCCTCACCCCAAATCCTGCCAGAGAGGCACGGAAGGCTGGGACAGGGCAGCACCTGGATGGGCTGGAGGGGACCACACAGTGATCCCACATTTCTCACTGGGCATGTCCCAGGCAGGTGGGGCTGTAGTGAGCCAAGGAATTTTTTCCAGCAGTTTCAGGAATTTGTATCCCACAGCCTGTTGCCTCCTCCTTATTTGCACTGGGAAATCGGCTCCTGGCTCACGTGGATGCCTGGAGAGAGGGACATGATCCAGGGCGAGTGATGGATATACTGGGACAAAGAAATCTGCGGCCTCAGCAGCTCCAGGGGGAACACTCCAGAGACTCCACACAAATCCCCCCAGGGAGAGCAGGACTGGCTTTTCCAAGGGCTGAGCCTGGCACTGCAGCCAAAATCCTGCTGCAGCCTGGAAACCATTCCAGCCTGAGTCTGCAGCCTCTGTCCCTGCTGCAGTCCCTCCTTCCCGCCCTCTTCCAAAAGCCAGACTGGGCAGGAGCCCCGGGGCTGCTCCTTTGGTTTCCCCTCATGCTGTGGTGACTTTTGTCATCCTGGTTTTGGTACCTCCCAGTCAGGATCCTCCCCATTCCCTGTCTGTCCATGGACAGTGGGATTGGTGGATCTGGAGCCCACTGGCTCCAAGCTGCTCTGGGGCTCTGGGAGACCCTCCTGCCTTCCCTCCATCCTTCAAAACAGCAGGAAAACCCATCCAGGCTTTTTCTCTCCTTCCTTTTTTAATATTAATGTGGAATATTGATAATTCCACTGCTGTTTGTGCCTATAGGATTCATGCTTTCTTTGCCAAGCTCCTGCCTGTCTGAATCCCACCTTCCCATCCCTGTGGGAATGATCCAAATGTGGTTTTCCTGGTAATTTTGCAGTTACTACAACACCAAGTCAGTGCTGCTGTGCCTTGGGATCACTGCCCTGGTCTGTCTGTCCGTCACCATCTTCAGCTTCCAGAGCAAGGTGGGACTGTGGGAGCTTCCCTCGGGAAAGGGCACATCTGGGGCAGGACAGGGAGCTGGGGGGAGCTGGGAGTGTCTGGAGGGCTCTGGATCCAGGACCAACCCAAGGGACGCAGGGATGTCACGAGAAGGTTGGTGTAGATCAGGACACGTGTTAGGGAGAATGAGATGTTTTTTGTGGATTGGGATGTGCCATAGGTGTAAATGGGACTGGAAGATGCTGATGTGTGGAAATAATCTGGGATTTTGGAGGATAGGGATGTGTTAAGGATGTCAGTGGGGCTGAAGAGGCTGTATGGTGGCAAACTGGGAATTTTGGAGGGTTGGGCTGTGGGATACAGGACACAAAGGTGTGTGATGGATTTGGAATTCCTGGCAATGGCAGGAGCTGAGCCCTTCCCTGTGGCACTAATGGGGATTTGGGAAGCGCTGGCTCTGTGGCTGCTGGGATGGAGAGGCAGAAGCAGCTCCGAGTGAGTTGCAGTGGGACTCGGAGCTCTGGCTGCCCCGGATGCAGTGCCTGGAACGGAACATTCCTCCCTTCTGTCCGCAGTTCGACTTCACCTCGTACCAGGGCGTTCTCTTCGTGCTGCTCATGGTGCTGTTCCTGGGGGGACTGGTCCTGGCTGTCATCCTGCCCTACCAATACGTGAGTGACCAACTGGGCCAAACTGGGCACACTGGAAGGGGGGGCCCAGCTCCCCAAAAATGTGTGGGAACCCCCATGGGGGGATGGAAGAGAAGGGGTCATTCCCTGGGGTGGACCATGGGCTACTGCTCAAGAATGGAACTGGCCCAGGGTTGAGGATGTTTCCTGCTATTCCTGGCGGAGGAGTCATGGAATGATTTTGGTCAGGAGGGAGCTCAAAGCCCACACAATCCCACCCCTGCCAAGGACGTGGACACCTCCCACTGTCCCAGGCTGCTCCAACCTGGCCTTGGACACTTCCAGTGATCCAGGGGCAGTCACAGCTGCTCTGGGAAATCCATTCCAGGGCCTCCCCAACCACACAGGGAGGAATTCTTTCCCAGTGTCCCATCCAACCCTGCCCTCAGGCAGTGGGAAGCCATTCCATGTCCTGTCCATCCATCCCTTGTCCCAAGTCCTTCTCCAGGTCTCCAGGAGCCCCTTTAGGCCCTGCAAGGGGCTCTGAGCTCTCCCTGGATCCTTCTCCTTTCCAGGTGAGCACCCCAGCTCTCCCAGCCTGGCTCCAGCCCTCGGAGCAGCTCCATGGCCCCCTTTGGACCATTCCAACACATCTCTGCCCTTCCTGTGCTGCCCTGCTGGATGCAGATGGGGTCTCACCTGAGCACAGGCGCCTCTGCTCAGGCCTCAGTTTTCCCTCAGTAAGACCAGGGAAATGAGCACATTAAACTCTGTCCTAAGTCTAGGTCAGGACTTGGACTCAGGACTAACACTTGGCACCTGCAGAGCTCAGTTTCTCAGCAATCACCCTGAGGTTTGAGTGACCTTCAGGAGTCAAGTCCATGGGGACAGTGACACTCCTGTGTGTCCCCAAGGCCTGCCAACCCCTTGCACAGCTGCAGCCCCTTCCTTCGGCCTCTCCAGCCACTCCTGGCCCCAGCTGTGCCCAGGGGAAATTTTGGAACAGCTTCCAAGCATGCCAGAGCAGGGCTGGGCTGCATCCAAGGGTGTCTCACCCTGGGAGGCGTCACTCCCAGAGAGCCTGGCAGCCCCTGGGACACAGGGATGGATGAGAGAAGTGGGGTGGGGCCAGGCAGGTGCCATAAATCACCTGAGAGGCTACTGGGATCTCAAATCCCTCTCCATCCCAGCCAGCTCCTCTGGGTCATTCCCTAAGGGAGACCTCCAGAAGATTCCCACAGCCCTGGAGTTGGTGCTGGACAAATCCAGCCTGAGGATTCCAAAGGGTTGGATTTTGGCTGTCTGGGCTTGAGCTTCTCCTCTTCCCTGTGGGAATGTGAGGCTGCAGCAGCTCGCAGTGCCAAAGCACAGCCATGAACTGGAGAGACAGCTCCTCCTTGAGATAAGCACAGTCGGAGGCAGCATGGGAATGAGCCTGGGAGGCAGGAGGTGACTCTGCAGAGACAGCAGAAATCTCTGGAGCAGCATAGACAGTCCCGGCTTCATTGCAAACATCTCAGGTTGAACCAGTACCTTATCCTGGTTCCTCTGGGCCACAGCAGGGGCTGAACTTTGGTCCCAATTCCAGTGAAATTCCCCCTGTGACTCCCACAGATGAATACATTTAAATTGTGCTTGTTAATTAATCACAGAATCATGGAACATCCTAAGAAGGAAGGGACCCACCAGGGTCATCCAGTTCAACTTCTGTCCCTGCTCAGGACATCCCAACAATCCTACCTTGTGCCTGGGCATTGTCCAAATGCTCCTGGAGCTCTGGCAGCCCTGGGGAGCTCTTCCAGCAGGGGAAGAACCTTTTCCCAATATCCAACCCAAACCTCCCCTGACACAGGTCCAGCTGTTCCCTCAGGCAAATTAGAACTGCCTCTGGCTCTTGGAATATCTGGTGTTTCTTCCAGTGGGATCAGCCGTGTTTAGGTAAATAAATCCAAAGTGTTCCCATCAGGAGAGTTCTAGAATTGAGACACATGGTTGCCCCACCCCTGGAGGTGTCCAAGGCCAGGTTGGATGGGCTTGGAGCACCCTGGGATAGTGGGAGGTGTCCCTACCCATGGCAGGGGTGGGACTGGATGGGCTTTAAGGTCCCTTCCAACCCAAACCATTCCATGATTTCCACAGGACAGTCACTGGGGCCCAGTGCTGTTTGGAATAACAAACACCCGATGGAGAAGTTGAGGAGCCAAATGGATACAAAGGCCTCAGAGAAGGGGGAACTGAGGCCCCGTGTCCTGTTTTGTGCCATAGAAACATTCCCAAAGAAACTGTTGAAGTTGGAAGTGCTGCAAATCAGGCCTGGGCTTTTAAAGCACTTTCCCAACTTTCCCTCTCCACCTGGGAGCCAAAAACCTTGGGAGTGAAGTCCTGTGTGGTCCATTCTGTCCAGCTCTGACAGCTGTGTCCATGTGTCCCTGACCATGTCCGTGTGTTCCCACTGTGTCCGTTTCAATGTCCCTGTGTCTGTGTCCTTCAGGTGCCGTGGCTCCACGCGATCTACGCTCTGCTCGGGGCTGGGATCTTCACCATGGTGAGTGGCTGTTCCTGGGATCCAGCAGGGAAAACAGACGGTTGGGAAAGGAGCTTGGAGCCTTGCAGAGAGCTTGGGGCAGGGATTGGTCCCAGAGCAGCGGTCCCAGTGGGAATGGATCCTGGCAGGGGAGGTGCCACAGACGTACCGCTGCCAGTGCAGGGCATGATGTGAGTCCCAGGCTGTGTGGGGTGAGCAATCCCAGCTGGATTGCTCTGCAGGGATTGTGGGGACAGGCCAAAGACACCTCTGGAGAGGAGGAGGCAGAGCTGAGCTTGGCATAGCCCCAGAGCAAGGGGATCCAGGGATGAGGCCACATGGTGGAGTTGGGGCTGGCTGGGTGAGAGTGAGCCAAGGATTGTGAGTTTGGCTTACAGAGGTGCAGAAAGATGGGGAACGCTGAGGCTGGGGATTAAGAGGCATTAGGAGGGTTTACACAAGTAGGAAAAGCGAAAGGCTTGGTGGTCCCTCCCCAGACCAGAGCTCCAGAGCAAGTCCTGGCAGTGCTGTGCTGAGATTCAGCTGGGGGAGGTGTCTGGGGAGGTTCCCTGGAGCCTGGGACCTGGGGCTGCCCTGGGCTCCAAGGCAGTGCCCATTGGGCACGTTGGGCATCGGAGCAGTTTTATCACCCATAAAAGTCACTCCAAGGGAGCTTGGGGAGCTTGATGCTGATTCACAGCTCAAGATCCCTCTGTAAAATACAAGGAGGCTTCAACATCTGATAATTACCCCATAAACATCAGTCAGAGCCTTGGCCTGGCCCTGCCAGGGCAGCTCAGCTGGGATTTGTTCTGGGGGGATAAAACAGCATCTCCTGGAGGATGGTGCAGCCCTGGAGAGCTCTGGATGGCAGGAGGAGGAATGGGAGGGAGGAGAAAATGGTGGATTGCAGTCATGCCTGGGATTTCTGTTGGTGCTGCTCCATGTCCTGTTGGGGCCAGGTCACCCTGTGACCATCTCGTTCCCTGGCAGGTGTTTCCCACCCGGGGAAAGTGTGGGAATAACAAGCTGTGGGCTCTGGGAGAGGAGGAGGAGGGAGAGCTGGCCTTGGGATGGAGGAAGCCTGAGGGAGGAGGGCCTGCAGTGGGAGTTACACTCGGGGTTTGATTATCATAAGGGAAATGAGGGAAGGGGAAAGTTGCAGCTCATTCAGTGCCTTGTTCTGAACTCTTAAATTGTGGTTACAGCCCATAAAAAGGGGCTGCACTTTCGTCCTGGGTCCAGGGAGGCAGCAGGGACTTATCCTGTCATTAGAACCCTTCTTACATCCCTGGGCCAAACCTCCCTGTCACTGTCACAGGGTTTCCTCCTTTCCCTTCCAGTTCCTGGCCCTGGACACGCAGATGCTGATGGGGAACCGCCGGTACTCGCTGAGCCCTGAGGAATACATCTTTGGAGCCCTCAATATCTACCTGGACATCATCTACATTTTCTCCTTCTTCCTGCAGTTCTTTGGCTCCAGCCAGGAGTGAGGGCAGCAGGGCAGGATCCTCCCTGTGCTGGCAAATGTGAGGGGTTAAATTGAAAAGCAGAGGTGAAAGGGTTCAAAACTGCCAATCTGACCCAATCCCTCCCTTTCTGGTCCATCCAATGCACCGAGGAGCCCCAGGCCCCTCCTGCAGTTTTGTACATTTGCTGTCAGGCCTTTGTGACCCAGAGAGCAAAGCAGGGCTTCAGTGTCATGTCCCTTCTGCTCCCCCCACTCCTGCCCAGCCCAAACCAGTCCTGAGACTCGGGGTAGGAGACCAGGACCTTCCTGGCCCCAGGAGCTGCTGGAGGTGCCCTCTGAGTCTTGCCCATCAGGGGTGAAAGTGCTGTGAAAAAAAAACAGTGAGGGCAGAGCAGGGAATTTGGTTCAATCCTGGCAGGAAAAGCAGCTGAGCCAAGGGAAAAGCCTTGGGGAATCCTTGCATTGCCCTGTTTCCCACATTCCTTTGGAGCTTGGTGGCCTCTGCGCTATTCCTGGTGGCTCCTGCTGTTGGAAACATGAAGTGTGGGATCACATAGCTGGATTTCAGTGCTCCAGGTACAGGGAAACTGTTTGTTCAGGACATGCAGCTCTCTGAGGTCATCCCTGGTGCCACTGCAGGAAGTATTCCCCTGGATCCCTTGCATCCAGCTGTGGAGCTGAGCCCCTTCCTTTCCCTTTCCCTTTCCCTTTCCCTTTCCCTTTCCCTTTCCCTTTCCCCATGGGAATGTGCTGGTTCTCTTTGGAGTGTGGCTCCTCACCAGAGGGGCTGGGATCCCAGGGAAGGAATATTGCCAGGAAATGGCAGAGAAGAGATGGAGGAAGCTGAGTTTCCATGCTGAGAAATGCCATTCCATGTGGGAAATGGGCTGGGATCCTGTGACCCTCCCTAAGGATCTGCCACCTTCACAGAATTGTCTTGGCTGCTCCAAATTAGTGTTCCTAAGGGGTCATTCCCAGGGACTGAGGCCATTGGAACACCAGTGTTCCCTCTCCCTGGCTGTTTTTCACTTCTCCTCTCCCAAACAGGGATGTCAGCATGGGCTCTGGATGTGCTCAGGTAACTTTCCACCGTGGCCATGCTCACATTCCCTGTTTGGGGCTCAGCTGGCTGATCTCGGACTGTAAAGCTCCCCAGGGAGATAAGGGGCCTTTTGCTCTCATTCCAAGAGTGATCCTTCCTGCAGATAGGACCTCGTATCTCCCATCTCGCTGGGAATGCTGGGCGAGTGCGTCACAGAGCTGCCTCCAGCAATCCCTGCCGGAGAGAGGCTCTGCTGGGACGGCACATTCCTGCTCCTTCTGCCCTGAGTTTTACCCCGCACATGCCCTGTCCTCCTGCCACACGTGTCCAAGATCCAGGGAAAGTTATTGTGCAGGGAATGGAAATGCCCCAGCCCCTCTGTGGCTGTGCTGATGAGCACAAGTGATGCCTTCCCCTTACTTTCATCCCCAAAACACTCCCAAAAAACCCCAACCAGACAAAAAACCCCAACCAGACAAAAAATCCCAACCAGACAAAAAACCCAACCAGACAAAAAACCCCAACCAGATCAAAAAACCCCAACCAGATCAAAAAACCCCAACCAGATCAAAAAACCCCAACCAGACCAAAAAACCCCAACCAGACAAAAAACCCCAACCAGACAAAAAACCCCAACCAGATCAAAAAACCCAACCAGACAAAAAACCCAACCAGACAAAAAACCCCAACCAGATCAAAAAACCCCAACCAGACAAAAAACCCAACCAGACAAAAAACCCCAACCAGACAAAAAACCCCAACCAGATCAAAAAAACCCCAACCAGATCAAAAAACCCAACCAGACAAAAAAACCCCAACCAGACCAAAAAACTCCAATCGGACCAAAAAAACCCCACCAAAGACAAATTTGTTGTAGGGATGAAGGACACCATGAGGTGATGCCAGCAGGAAGTTAATGCCCTGCTGGTTCCTGCTGAGGAGAACCAAATACTTGGATTGCTGAGCAGGCAGGACTGGGAATGGTGTGGGAGGCACACTAAAAGTGGATGAAATAAGAGTTTCAAGAGGGAATTTCCTGACCCTCAGCAGACTGGCTGGGAAGCCTTTCCTTGCTCACAGCTGTTTTGTGCAAGGATTTGTGCTTTCCAGGCTTGGAGGGAGGAGTGTGGAGCCCCATGATGAGCTCTGGCTCTGAAATAGTCCCAAAACTCCTCCAAAATGCCCTGCTGGGAGCTGGGGAGGAGCACATGGAACCTGCAGCCCGCTCTGGAATTGCTCTTTTTCCTTCTGGTGTGGAGTAACTTTCTTGCTGCTGCATCCTGGCTTTTCTGCTGCTGCATCCTGGCTTTCTGCTGATCTATCCTGGCTTTCTGCTGATCTGTCCTGGCTTTCTGCTGATATATCCTGACTTTTCTGCTCCTGTTGGGAACACCTGGCATGACCCCACTCCAGGCACCTGGGTGGGGGGAACTTGCTGCCCCCCTTTGTCCCTTGCATGTGTCCTGGTCTATTTTCCACACTGATCCCATCCCAGCCAGCTCTGATGGATACTGAGCACTGTACCTCGCAGGGAGCTGGAGTTCCTTGGGAGGCTGAGGAAAGCAGGGGCTGGGGTGGGATATGGAGGGCTGTCCTCCACCCAAAGTCCTCACCCAGCTCCGTATCCAAATCCTTTGGAGTGGTCATTCCTATGATTTCACTGTAAATAAGATTTTGTATCTTCTCTGACTATTGCTAATAAATGATTGCAAAACTGTTTCTGTGCCTGTTCCAGCTCTGGTTGTGCAGGTGCTGCTTCATCCCTTAAAATATAAAGAAGATCCTGGCATGGTCCAAAGGTTTAACGGAGCCCAGGTCACCTCTTCTCTGGTTATGGGTGAGGAAAACATCCCCCACAGAGCAATGAAAAGCCAAAGGGCTCCTGGAATGAGGGATTTGCTCCCCTTCCCACTTGGTTTATGTGACCACAGGATTCAAAAATCAGTGAATTGAAAAATCAGGGATAAGCTGTGAGAGGGCTCCAGCTCCAAGGAAATTTTCTGCAGTGCTGGAGAGCAGACGGAGATTTCCCAAGAGTAAATGGAGGAAAAAAATTCCTCCAGGGACAATTGAACCACTCAAAATGAGAACCTGCACTGGGAGATGTAAACTCCCTTCTCACTCCATCAGCTCTGAAGGGATGATTGTCCAGGACAGAAATCCCAATGCAGCAGGTCTGTGCTTTTGGGAAGGAGTCAAACCCAAAATGTGGAAATTTGGTTGCTGGGAAGTGATGCTGAACAGCCAGTGCCGGAGGGCAGGGATGGACGGGATACTGGGAAGGAATTCCTGGCTGTGAGGGTGGGGAAGCCCTGGAATGGATTTCCCAGAGCAGCTGTGGCTGCCCCATCCCTGGAAGTGTCCAAGGCCAGGCTGGACAGGGCTTGGAGCAGCCTGGGATAGTGGGAGGTGCCCCTACCCACGGCATGGAACGGATTTTAAGGTCCTTTTCCACCCAAACCATTTCGCGATTCCATGAAAATAAAGAAGGGCCGATCCAGGGAGCAGGCAGCTTTCACCTGCATTCGTGAGCTCCAGGCGCCCTCTGCTCCTCACGCTGGGGTTGAAAGCAGCAACGAAAGAAATCCTGTGCCAGCCTGACCCTAAAGCTGTGCCAGGGCCCTGAGCCTCCCTCTGCTCTTAAACCCGCCTTGAACGGGAACTTTCATTTCCTTCTGCTTTAAAACCTCTCTCAGCTGCAGTCTGTGGGGTCCTGGGCATCCCAGTGCAATCAGGTATTTATATGTAATTTAAACAACACTTACTTGTTATGCATGTGTATAACATTTGTATGGTATTTATTTTATAACATGGGTTTTTATTATTTAAATATACTTTCAATAACGTTGATATAAGTAGCATTTATATGCTAGTTATTTGAACAAAATGAATGTTTTATATGATAAAATATGATTTTTATGTTAAGTAACAGGTACATGTTATTTAAACAGCCGAACGCCGCCAAGGCCTGAGACCCCGCTGGGGCCGCGGCGTCGCCATGGCAACGCGGGGGGGAAGCGTTCAAAGGGGACACGAGTGGTCGGCGCTGTCCCTCTGCAGCCTGGCAGGGCCCAGACAGGGTTCTTTACACCAAATATCTCAAATCTCTTCTTTTCACCCCAAAGGGGCTGTGGCTGCGCTGGTGGCGCTGTCCCTTGTCGCTATCACTGCCCCGCGTCGTCCTCCTCGGAATATTTCTGCCTCGGAACGTTTCTCTTCAGTTGCGGTTTCCGCCCGGCGTGTGGGAACAGCGGGAAAATGGCGGCGCCCATGAGCCGGGGGAGGCGCGGCCCCGAGCCCGGCGCGGCTCCCTACGGGAACTTCCCGAATTATTCCCGGTTCCACCCGCCCGAGGGGCGCGTCAGCCTCCTGCCCCAAGGGCTCCTGTGCAGCCTCTTCCCCGCGGCCACCCGCCCGCTTCTCGGGCTCGATGTGGGCTGCAATTCTGGGGTGAGGGGGCGGCACGCGGGC